ACTTAAGCTTGAAAATAGGTCTTCGGGTGGCCAAAATCATGCAACAACCACGAGACGGCCCGAGAAACACCTTAAACACCTCGGAAGGGACCAATGTGAGTTGTGAAAACTTACAAAACTAGTATGGGACTCTCGGTTTGAAAACTAAGTTCAAAAATGTATTTTTTCACACTTAGGCCTCGTTTGGGAACATGCTAATTTAGTAACTTTTTGGCTATTTGGCTAAAATATGAGCTAAAAAAAACTAGTATGTTTGGGATAAATTTTTGGCTTTTTATGAAAAGATGTGTAAAAAGTAAAGAGAAAAGAGAATCTTTGACTTTTTGGTATGAGTTGTTGGCTTTTTGGCTAAAAAGGAAGGTTTCCAAACGAGGCCATAAGCTTCAAAATAGGCCATCGGAGGCCAAAATCGTGCAACAGCCACGAGACGGCCCGGGAAACATCACAAACACCTCGGGAAGGACCAATGTGAGTTGTGAAAACTCACGAAACTAGCACGGGACTTCCGGTTTGAAAACTAAGTCTAAAAATACCCTTTTTCACACTTAAGCTTCAAAATAGGTCATCGGAGGCTAAAATCGTGTAACAGCCACGAGACGACCCGGGAAACACCTCAAACACCTCGGGAGGGACCAATATGAGTTGTGAAAACTTACGGAACTAGAACGAGACTCGATTTGAAAACTAAGTCGAAAAATGAAAATTTTCAAACTTAAGCTTAAAAATAGGCCATCGGAGGCCAAAATCGTGCAACAGCTATGAGACGGCCCGGGAAACACTTCAAACACCTCGGGAGGGACCAATTTGAGTTGTGAAAACTTACGAAACTAGCACGGGACACCCAGTTTGAAAACTATGTCCAAAAATGTACTTTTTCACACTTAAGCTTCAAAATAGGCCATCGGAGGCCAAAATCGTGCAACAGCCATGAGACGGCCCGGGGAACACCTCAAACACCTCAGGAGGGACCAATGTGAGTTGTGGAAACCTACAGAACTAGCACGGGACTCTTGGTTTGAAAACTAAGTAGAAAAATGAACTTTTTCAAACTTAAGCTTGAAAATAGGTCATCGGAGGCCAAAATCGTGCAACAGCCATAAGACAGCCCAGAAAATATCTTAAACACCTCGGGAGGGACCAATGTGAGTTATGGAAACTTACGGAACTAGCACGGGACTCTCGGTTTGAAAACTAAGTCCAAAAATGCACTTTTTCACACTTCATTTGAAAATAGGCCATCGGAGGCCAAAATCATGCTACAGCCACGAGACGGCCCGTGGAACACCTCAAACACCTCGGAAGGGACCAATGTGAGTTTTGAAAACTTACGG